CCCCAAGCAGATCACAGCCTCCCTCTTGAGCAATGCCGTAATTGAGGGTTGCCTTCATGATGAAGGATTCAGAAAATGAATCAGAGATATTACCCCAAATGCCCCAGACACAAAGACACACCACAACCTTCTAAAACTTTTTTAAAAATGTAAAGAAATGGATCATATTGCATTAATCACAGAAGGGCCCCAGTTTGACGCATGGAACCAAAGTTTGTAAAGTAAATGATGTTTTTAATATTAACTTCCTTGTTTTTCTTAGAATTCTTTTCTAAATGTTTTTGTTATTTTTATTTGTGTCGATGTTACACGGGCACAGAGTTTCAAAAGTCAAACAGTTATCACCAAGTCTGTTGCAAAACAAGAGTCGCATTGTCTCCCTCTCCCTATCCTTCCCTGTGTCCTAATGCCATCTCCAAACCCCCTTCCCTCTTGTCTTCCCGGGGTTTCAGGAGGAAATAATGTATGTATTGTGACACCATCATTACTTGAAGGCCATTTTCTCCTGATTTAGAAGAGATATGGAAGATAAATTAGACGGCTGATCTTTTCCCTGTAGCGAACAAAACATTTAAAATCATTCCTCCAACCCCACTCAAATTTGGGGTTACTAACAACATCCCAGTATTGCATCACTTCAGCATTGGAGGGACTCACTGTGACTTCCCTTTTGAGTGTCAGGAGCAGTCTTTGAATCCTGTGTTTCTTTCCATCTTTGCCTTCTTCTCCTTCTCCCACCTGTCCTGTCTACTCCCAAGACAGGCCAGCACCGAGGGAGAGAAGAGCGTTCTCAGACTGACTCTGGGAATACACTGAGTCTGAAGACTGTTTCACAGGTTGGGGCGGGCAGGGAGAAGAGCCACTTCCTTCGCTATTCCTTGCCTTCCAGAGCCACAGCTAAAGTCCAACAAAAAAGCTATACAGCTGATTAAGAAGATAATGGCCCTTAAATATGAAATACAGGTGGCTCATTCAGCGCTGCTAAGGGAATGAAATGTGAAATAGTGAAACGCTTGCCTTATGAAAATAAGCTTTTGCTCCATCCACAAATTTCCTTGGCTATCATTTCATAAACATAAATAAGCCTGAACTACGGTCATGTCTGAAGTTTGACCTAATCGTACCTTTAGAACTATGTGCTGGCTGATGACTGACTTGAAATTTGAACCTATCAGAAAGAAAACAAAACATCAGACAGGAGGAGTACTACAGGGTGAAACCCAAAACTCTGAGCAGGTTTCTTTCAACCAGTGGTGAATGAAACCATTATTTCAAATATTTACCTTAATTAAAATTAAGCCTGGGGCGAGAGTTTAGACCCACAAATATATTGCTGGTCTGTCTGACAGTGGTGTTTGCATTAGACTGCGTGGGTGCATTGAATTAAAAAGTAAAAACTTTCATACTCAGGGTAAATCATTCAGCTTGCATAATGAGCATGGATACTACTGGTCACAAAGAAAAATGTTTCTCTAAATATCAAGCCTTGCCCAAAAGATGAATTAAAACAGAACAATGAAAGCCCTGGCTGGGTAGCTCAGTTGGAACATTGTCCCAATGCGCCAAAGTTGCAGGTTTGATCCCTGGTCAGGGCACATAGAAGAAGCAACCAATGAATGCCTAAATAAGTGGAGCAATGAATCGATTTCTCTGCCTCTCTTCCTCTCTCCTTTCTCTCCCCCTTCCTCCCTCTTTCTAAGTCAATTTTAAAAAATCAGGACAATGAAGAGAACAAAATCTCTCTTTTCCCGCTGAATTCAAGGATTCTGAACTTTATCTTTAAACTAATAAAAATCAGTAATACTCACTACATGGCCTAATTTTAACTGTCATTGATTTGGTAGTTAACCACAAGCCAGCCACATTTTTCCACCTGTATTTGTGAACACAGGCACTTTGCCTCGACTTTAAACTTTCTTTAGGCCACCTGGATATGACGTCATTGATCCATTACACAGGCCACTACTGGGCTGGGATCCAGCCACACTCAGGACAAAAACTGCTGACCCAGTAGCCCTGGCACTTGTTGCTCCACTGCCCGGGTGGGTGGCCCTTCCTATTGTACTACTACTGTTTTGATTTTAGATTTGTCCCAAGAGGTGACACAAGCGATAAGATTGATGAAGACATTTTTTAGTGCTCCTATTCCTTTTACCCCCACTGAAGCAACTGCTTTTAAATCTTGATTTCGACCAAGTAACTTTTCTCAGGACCCCAACTACCACATCACAGAATAGACTCCACCACATTTGTCACTTTAGATGAGTTGAGAGCACTCTGTATGGCATAGAACATTCCCTGCAAACCCCTTAAGTTATTCAAATAGCATCATGTTGACTAAGTTACAGATAAGCGGGAGATTTATAGTTTTACTATAAGGAGAAATGTTCATAAGAAATAGAATAAAAGTGTAAATGTTAAGCAGGGAGTATTACCTCGGGACAGAGAAAAATAGTACAAGCACACTGAGGTCAGACATAAGCCAAGGACCTGGCTGGCGTGGCTCAGTCATTGAGCACGGGCTGTGAACCAAAGGGTTGCAGGTTTGATTCCCAGTCAGGGCACAGGCCTGGGTTGCGGGCTAGGTCCCCAGTGGGGGCCATGTGAGAGGCAACAACACATTGATGTTTCTCTCTCTCTCTTTCTCCCTCCCTTCCCAACTCTAAAAATAAAATCTTAAAAAAAAAAAAAAAAAGAAAGCCAAGGAAGAGAAGGCATGAAACAGCACTCCAGAAGGCATAAAGAGCTGGAGAAATGCAAGATAATATGATATGCAAATTTTATATTCCCTACAGTTGGGTGTTCATGGAAGGCATGCAAAAAGTGTTAAATATAAAAAGAAGGCATTGCTAGGTACAAACAACTACAAAAGGCAAAGATCACAGTACGATATAAAGGGTAAGTGAGTTACACTGGCTGGGAGGTGAGTCCCCTGCTGTCCTAGATGTGGGTCAGATACCACTGGAAGCCGGTCCTGGACTCCCACCCTTACTTCCCCTTGGAGAAGTTAAGAGGTTTTAAGGCAACGTTTCAATATTGAATAAAAGGTTAAAAGGGGGAATATTTTAGTTAGGAGGCACTGAAATACCTTTTGATTAATGATCCCCAGAGCATGCTGTGACATGGGCCATTTCTTCATCTTCTCTAGATCAAGTAATCTTAAGAATGAGGAAACTTGTGGAATCTCTACTTTCTGGAGGTGATATAGGAAGCCAAGCCAATGGGAAAGGCCTGAAATAATAATACACTGAGATATTATAAGGAGATAATATAATGATATAATTTAGGCACAGTTTCAATATACTGAAATGATTGGTCACTGGGTCACTGGCAGGATTATTCTGACAAGGGTGCTTTGGCTCATTAATCCTATAGCAATGCAGGCACCATTCCAGCCACTTTGAATCTATTAAATATAATATTAACATGTGCATGTTCCATTTATATCCTGCTATCTTACCAACTGCTATTGATTCTGGAAGGTCAACAGTTAGGAATTAAGTTGATGCTACAGGAATATAAAGATGACCTTTAATTTCTAAATCTGATTGAAATTTGAAAATTCTCAATTCTCTTTCACACACTGCTCCCGACCATCCTTCCTGGCTGGCTGACAAGTCAAAAGAGGCCCCTGCTATTCCCACCAGCACTGGGAACACGGGGTGCAATGAGCTGTGCATTCAGGGGCCACAAAGGCGAATACAAGGCCTACGTATAGAGAACCGACACACACCACCACCTAGCATTCCCACATTGGCAGAAGACAGAGCCTACAAGGGGGGGACCCCAAAAACCTGGAATTTATTTATAAAAATGTGTGTCTTTATTCTGACATGTTTAAACTTCAGTCACCTTCAAAGCACTCTCCATTTAATGCAATACCCCTATCGAGACATGTTTTCTACCACTCAAACAGCTTTTGAACTCGGCCATTTTGATGCCTTTTAGTGCTTCTGCCGTGTTTTGTTTCACCTCTTCCACGTCGGCAAAATGTTTTCCTTTAACTTGTTTCATCGGGGAAACAAAAGCTGCTTTGGGTGAGATCAGGTGAAGAGGGAGGGTGAGGCACAGGGGTCATGTGGTTTTTGGTCCAAAACTGCTGAACACTCAGCACAGTGTGGGCAGTTGCGCTTGTAAACTACCCATCGTGAAATGGGCAAACGCATTGTAAGTGTCTCCAAAATAATTCACTAACAAATGCAGCCTCTGACAATGACACCAGCTGGTTGGTACACTGATACAGATGGGTTCCTAGAACACTCACCTAGAGGGGCAAGTTTGTATTATTTTCTATAAAACCAGAAAATAATTCTGGTTTTCTGAAGGTCCCCCTTTGTACTTACTATGTATCTCCCACTGGCACTGAAGAAACGGAAGCTATGTATGAGCTGGGAGGCAATGAGACACTAGGATTCCCAGGCACTATTTTCTTTCGCATGCCTTCTAATCAGGGCCAGGCAGACTATTACTTGCAGGGTTTGTTCCTTGTGCTAGCTATCGAAGCATCATCTCTTGGCTCCGGAGCTGCTCTTGTCAACTCGACTCTCTTGTGGGATATAGGCTCTGCAGATTGCCAGCTGACACTGCTCTAAGAGTTACCATTTTTCACACACACACACACACACACACACACACACACACACACACACTTACACACCACAAACACGCTACACACACGAACAGATACCACATACATGTCACATCTGCCTCCACATACATGTATGCTCACACACTCACACACACACACACACATGTATACTTAGAGACACCATACATCACCCCATACACACTGGCACTAGATATGCTTAAACTGTTACTCCATACTATCAGGGGGAAAAAAAGGCAGGACAACATTTTTTAACTTGGAATTTTAATTATGTACATAAATAGCAACATGAGAACGAGAAGTCCTAAGGCTTGTACATTATCTATAGGTGAAAAGATTCCAGATTAGTCCCTTTGTAGTATGGCGTCACCCAAGATAACAAAGAGGCCTGGTATATTTTTCCTGAAGAAAAAAGCCAGTTTATTACATTCAATACTGACTTCTATTCCGTTTTTCTGTAGAAATACTGGTTTAGTGTATGGAGTTTCCAACGTTTACCTATAACTAAAAGAAAAACAATAAGTAATCTGTGCTAGAAAAATAAAAACAACTCTAAAATTTTGCATTTTGAAAATGCTTTAGTTTTACATAGAGAAATCATAACAAATATTTACATTACCCTGGTATGACCATGAGGATCATACAGAGCGAGAGAAAAGGGTAACTGTTCTTCTTTTATAGACAGGTAAACCAAATACCAGAAAGGTTTTGTGCTTCATCGATACTACATTCAGATTCTCCACTGGCTGTGTACTGAGCATAATTGCAAGGGTGGATTTATAAATAAAAAATAAAGGCAGAAATAGCACAGCAACACCACATCCCTCCCTTTCTGAAAACTAAACAATTACATTTCCGCCCATCTGCTGGAGGAGAACACGGTTGTATCGCTGTCCGTCTGACATCTACCTTTCCTCACGTCACCCCGTCATTCTTTTCTGGAATGAGATACCCAGCAATCCAAAGACACCCCAAAGCTAAACCGGCTCTTCTCCATAATGCCTTTTCCTACTATGTAAAGAATCTACTTAGCAATTAAAGGTTTATAAATATTTTAGAGTCCAGTGACTACTCATTTGGCTTTTTAAGATAAAACCAGAAATTCTTAAACATGTAAGCCACTAGCTTACCTTTTCTATCTCAGTTTATTAATCTGTTTTGGAGTTCTCTAACAGTTCAATAGATTTACTGCATTGCTAAAAACTATAAACCAGAAACAGCCTATACTAGTGAGGATTCAATAGATCATGGTAGGCCATGCTAGGAAATTATTATGCAGCCACAGGAGGAATGAGATAGATCAGTAAGTATCAACAGGGAAAGATGTACACAATATATTAAGTGAAGAAAGGCAAGTTCATTCATTCAATATAGTTAAACATAACATACTGTCCGTGTAGTATTCTTACCAAAAAAATTGAACCTAAATCTGATTAAGTCTTCAGATCCATCAGTTGATGAGAAGGGCAGAGAAGAGAAGATCCAAGAGATAAACAGAATAACACTAAATGGATGCACTCAGCCAGGGCCACAACGTGGGAAATTCTAAAGGACAAGTAAGCCCAGGTTTTCAACAAATAAATGGCAATGGAAAATGAGGGAGAAGGAACTATTACAGTTTAAAAGGCACTTATGAGACCTGTCAGTCAAATGCAATGGGCTGATCTTGTTTAGATTTTGATTCAAACAAACCAAGTGCAGAAAGTTATTAATGAGACAACCAGGGGAGTCTGCATACTGTCTGGACAGTAGATAATATTAAGGAATTAGTGTCAATTTCTTTAGCTGGGATAATAAAATTGCAGTGTGTGCCGTCATGGAGCTTTCGGTGTTCTTATAGAGCAATATAAGGAATATGACCTCATTCTGTCAAAAAACCAAAAGCATGTATGTATGGATGCATATTGACACATAGGAAAAAAAGTCTGGAATGATATACCAAAATACTAACAGAAATTTCCTCTGGAGTAAAAATAGAAAACAAAAATGCTTTAAAAATAATTATCTAGGCCCTGACCAGTGTGGCTCAGTCAGTTGGGTGTCGTCCCACAAAGCAAAAAGTCGCTGGTTCTATTTCCGGTTGGGGCACGTATGTGCCTGGGTTGCAGTCTGGTCCCTGGTTATGGGGGGTGTGTGAGAGGCAACCGATTGATGTTACTCTCACACATCAGTGTTTTTTCCCCTCTCTTTCTCTCCCCTTCCCCCTGTCTCTCTCAAAATAAGTAAAATCTTTAAAAAAATTTATCTAAAAATTCTTCTTTATAATAAATATGCATCACTTGTATATTGAAAAATACATTGCCAATAAAGCTCTAGACAATGAAATCAAGGTCACGTATGCCATAAGTTGAACTCTGATCCACAATCCTTTTAGAAAATGAAATGGATATTTACATAGTTTCCCTTTACTCCATGTCTCATTGGCCCCATAGAGAAATAGGACCATGTTCAAAGTAGTCTCTGGAGGATAGGTGTGTCTTCCTCGCTGCGCAGCCTCGTCTCTCTTCTAACAGCACATGGGATGCACATCTGGCCCCACTTGCCAGAGATGCCTATTCTGGGATGGGGCCTAGGCCTCTGCCTTTCATCAGCTTCCCAAGTGATCTGTTTCTATAATGAGATTTGAGAACTGCTGACTTAGGCTTACTATATGAAAAGCTGTGATGTGAAAGAGGGTCTGGATTTGTTTTCTGTGACTCCTAACACAGGGTCAGGACCATTGTGTAGAAGGAGTTATAAGCAGACACATTTTTGCTGAGTGTAAGAAATAGCTTCCTCAAAACCAGAACGATCCAAAGACGGCTGCCCTATGAGGTGTGCTTTCTATCAGTGGAGGTGAAAAGTGGGGACGCAAACTTGAGGCTGGGAGTTGGGCCAGATGACCCTTCTCAAATTCAAAGATTATATGACTCTCTGGGTCTCCAACAATAGGAAGACAGCTTGAGAGAGAAAAATCTCAAACCTGAGGCTTTCATGAATTTTAAATAGCCGCCAGAATTTACAATAAATGTAAAGCTGATATAAATTTTTTATTATAAAAGAAAATTCATATTCATTTTGAAATTTAAAAATACAGAGTAACATAAAGGAAAAATACAAAAATCATCTAAAATTCTACTATGACAAGATATATACCACAGTCCCCCTTTTCGCATGGGATACGTCCCTAGACCCCCCAGTGGATGCCTGAGATTGTGGATGATACCAAACCCTACATATACTATGTTTTTTCCTAGACAGGCATATCTATAATAAAGTTTAATTTGTAAGTTAGGGACAGTAAGAGCTTAATGACAACAATAAAATAGAACAATTAGAACAATATACTGTAACAAAAGTTGTGTGATCGTGGTCTCTCAAAAAGGTACGGTGTGAAACGTAAGACAAAGGCATGATTCACGTCCTGGGTGGGACAGAGCAGGACGGCGCAAGATTTCATCACGCTATTCAGAACGTGTCATTTAAAACTTGTAAATTGTTTACTTCTGGAATTTTCCACTTAATACTTTTGGACCACAGTGAAGTACAAGTAAATGAAACCATGGCAATTGAAGCTGTGGGTAAGGGGGAACCAGTTAAATATTCTGTTTTATTTCTTGGTCCTTAGCCTCTCTAAAAATATATTGTACTATCTTTTATTTCCTTCATTCAACAATAATTGTGTACATGTTCCCATGGAATTAAATATTATTAAAACATAGTGACATTCCTCTTTACAGATAGACCATGATAAGTCATTTTCCTATAGTTGAATATTTACATTGTTTCCAAATTAAATATAGTCTAACTACCAGGAAATCACAAGTGCTACCCTATAATTTTTAATATGTATGTGAAATAATATTAATATTATTGACTAGTGTTTTCTACTTGGCAGACACTCAATGCATAAATATTAAACAAATGAATGAAAATAAATGGTGAACTGAATATAAGATCAGAAGGAGTCAAACTGATTGTCTGACTTCATCTCATATCATCCTAAATTTCTCCAGTCTGGGGTTACTCAATCTTTAAAGAAAGAATAACTATACCTACAAATTCCCTATGTCGGTTACAATAATATCTCCATATCATTTTGAACTTCTCTACAACAGTCATACATTGAATAAATAACTATGTATTCAATGAATAACTATTCATTGTTCAATGAATGTTCAATGAATGTTCAATGAATAACTATTAGATGAGTACAAGTATACTTACTACAGTGGAGTTTGAAAAAAATAAACCTAAGAAATAATGGCATTTTTCAATTGTTTGGAATTGTAAATCACAACTGTCAAGTTCTAGCTTGTCTAAAAAACCCAGGTACACCTCAGGAACAAACACAATTATATAAGTCATGGCACTTAAACCCATAAATTAAAGATGGAATGAAATATCATCCTACCCCTGTTTCCACATAAAGTTGAAACTGTTATAATTAATTTACAGAATTAATTACAATTAAAATTTAATTACAGATAGGTCACTTGAGCTGGTGCTAACAATGCTAAAAAAACCACAGGTTTTTATTCTTTACCTGATTAAAATGGGCAGAACATGGAGTATTCTACTTATTTCCAGGTGAATTCTTCACATTTCCAGGCTTATAAAACAGAAAGGAAGAATATTAGTACAGCTTGAAAAGGAAGAGTGAAGCTTGTAAAGAAATGGTGGAACATCTCAAGGTGCCAGTCTTCCGCATTTGGCTGATACAAACACTAAATACTATTATAATGCAAAGTAACCCACTTCTCAGTAAACTTAAGGAATTATCAATACTAAGGCTCCTGGAGGGCCATGCGTTGGGACTGACTTTGGTACAGAAGAGAGCAGGAAATAAAGCTCCATCAACTCCCATTATACAGAGTCAGGCAAACAGCTGATTCTACTAAAAACGTCAAATCAGTAGTGAGAAGATTTCTTTACTACTTCATGCCATAGTCACTGTTAAAGAGGGTTTTACACCTATGGGATGCGTCCTGTAAGAACTCCCCTCTGTGTATCTATTGTCCATCATAGGGGCCAAATCACAAAATGTTTACTCTGAAAGAGGTTATAATCGGACCACACCCATTCGGCCTGGCCACCATCTGGGAACATATAATTAGGTCATGTCATCCATGAGAAGCGATGTAGCAAAGTTTCTAGTGGGAGAAGTTTATGCGCTAAATGTTTAAGGCCTTACTTTCTTTCCTATATGTCTTTAAGACTTTAATTCTTAGAACACGTTGGTAAGACCTGACATCATCAAGGATCTGAGCTCTCAGGAGCCGGCGACCTGAAAAACACCAGGCTGCCGTTCAGTGGGCAGTGCGGCTGTGACTCTGTGGTCTAGACCTGGTGCAGGTTCTCCTGCCAGACTTCTCTCAGAGTTATCCACGCGTGGAGGAGAGGGTCGGGGGAGTAAGAAAGCAGAAACATCTGACTAATCCTGTAATTTCAGAGCATGGTTTCTAGGCAACGTCAGGCTTACTGGAATGTTTGCGAACTGGTCCCTAAGCATGGGGATTATACATCTTGGCTTGTCCAAGTTATACTGGTTTATACCTATTGTCCCAGCATAATTCACAGTACCTACCCTTTTACTCTCTAGAGCAGGAGTGTCAAACTCATTTTCACCAGGGGCAACATCAGCCTCACAGCTGCCTTCAAAGGGCCGAAATAATTTTAGGGCTGTATAAATGTAAATACTCCCTAACTATTAAGGAGTTGAAATTACACCTGGCCCTTTGAAGGCAACCAAGAGGCTGATGAGGCCCCCAGTGAAAATCAGTGTGACACCCCTGCTCTACAGTATCCTAGTTTGGATGATAAATTATATAGTCACCCTATCCAGAAACCATATCCACCTGACGACTGAGTTCTGGGCAACAAAGCCATAAGTACTGCTTGATGGATCATCATACAATACTCAGGTCTACTTGTTGCTGTGAACAGAGTTCTACAGGATTGATTGCCTGTGTGCCTTACTCTATTCCTCCAGAGCCACACACACACACACACACACACACACACACACACACACTCCCAGGGATCTTCCTGCTATTGCTTATTGCTCTTCCAACTTGCCAAGCTCTTTCCTGGGAAACCTTCGCAAAATGTATCCTTGACCTAGACTGACCAATCCCAATTTTTGCCTGGCTAAATGCTACTCATCCTTTAGATCAAGGTTTTCCCCTGTCTGCTACCCTTTGATTTAGATAAGAACCTTTAATTCACATTCAAAGCACCCATGAGCTTCCCAATTTATGTAAATCTTTCACTCATGTCTGAATCCTTCACTAACAAATAAGCTGCATGAGGGCACAATATCCTTACAACCTCCTAACACATAGTATTCAAACACTTGTATACAATAAGTTTGGGTAAACCCTGGCCGGATAACTTGATTGGTTGTAGCGTCATCCTGATATGCCAAGGTTGCGGGTTCGATCCCCAATCAGAGCATATACAGGAATCAACCAATGAATGTATAGATGAGTGGAACAACAAATCAATGTCTGTCTGTCTGTCTGTATCACTCTCTAAAATCAATCAATAATTTTTTTTTAAGTTTGGATATGCAATAATGAAGAACAGGAAGAGAATTACGAAGATAAGTGAGATAACCATGTCCAACAATTGGGCCTGTCATAAAAACTATCTGGTTTTTGCCCTGACCAGTGTGGCTTGGTTGGCTGGGGCATTGTCTGTGCACTGAAAGGTCATGAGTTCAATTCCCCATCATGGCACATACCTAGGTTGAAGGTTTGCCCCAGATGGGGCAGGTACAAGAGGCAACTGATCAATGTTTCTCTCTCACATTGATGTTTTGTCTCTCGTTCTCTCCCTTCCAGTCTCTCTATAATCAATTTACAAATCTATTCTCGAGAGAGGATTTTTAAAAAAAATGTGGTTCTCTACCTAGTTAAATATACTTAGATCTGAATTACCTTAACATAATGCTTGCCAAGTACTTCTAGTGGTATTCTTATATAGTCTACTATCTATACTTGCTGGGATCGCAACCTCAAAAATATAAGCTGTGAAATTCATAGGCTTTTTAAAATCTTTTGGACATTAAGAAAATGAGCACATGAAAACATTCTTTTGGTTGAGGAAAACAACTCTGTTGCTAGGAAAATTTTTTGTTTGGTTACATATCACTTATAGTATAATAAAACAAGACAGTCAAATATCTCACTAAAGAAATATTGAACCCATCCACCCTATTACAAATCAGATCTCTCTTGGCAGAAACCTTAATGATCTCAGAAAAAAAACAACAACATTCTGACTTCAAAAGACAGTTTGTGATTTAGAACAAGCCAGAAATTAACTTTCTGCATTTTCAGACAAAAAATTTTATTTAAAATATTTTATAACTCATTCATTCTCTTTATAACCTGATTTTAATATATATCGGGTTTCATTGTTTTTTAGTAATCAATACATTTATTTAACCCAATATACCTAAAATATTATTTCAGCCCTGAGTGGCATGGCTCAGTGAGCTGGGTGTCAAAGGTCACCAGTTCGATTCCTGGTTGGGTCACAGGCCTGGGTTGCAGGCCAGGTCCCCAGTTCGGGGCATGCGAGACACAGAGGATCGATGTTTCTCTCCCTCTTTTTCTTCCTGCCTTCCCCTCTCTCTAAAAATAAATAAATAAATTCTTTGAAAAATAAATTATTACTTTAACATATGATCGATATAAAATAATGAGATAGTTTACATTCTTTTTATTTCTATCATGTCTTGTAACTTTGGTGTGGATTTATACTTACAGCATACCTCAATTCAGACTAGCTCCAGTTCAAGCACTCAACAGCTAGTGGCTGCCATATTGAACTACACAGGGCTAGAGGAATAAGCCAAACAGCACTGTGATGGTTAGTTTTATGTGTCAACTTGGCTACGCTACAGTAGACAATTCATAGGAAAAAATTCATGTTTGTGCACAAACACGAATCATTTCTATTAGCAAAATTAAAACATGTTTTAATCAAAATGTTTGTTTGTAATTAGTATGCGCTGCCACGTGAAGAGGAACTTTCAGCCAAACCTTTGAGGTACAGCGGTCCCCTGAAATGTCTGAGTCCTCACCAGCCAAATTATTTTGATCTATTATTTAACTTTTCCAAACTGCAGCTTCCTCATTTGTAAAACTGGGATAGTAACAGAACCTGCCTCACAGACTCTTCCAGGAGCAAAGAGTTTAGTGTCCAGAGCCGAGTTCACAGCAAGTGCTCAATAAACATTTCCTGTTTTATGTGGTACGTCACCTAGCTTTTTGGATAAAGAAATAAAAGACAAGGACAAACGATCTGTTAAAGACCTCAGTAAAATTCCAGTTCACTAAATGTGGCAGGCTAAATAATGCTCTCCCCAACCCCCAAAGATGTCTACATCCTAATCCTGGATCCCATGAGTGTGTTACTTTATGTGGCAGGGGAGAACTAAAGTAGCACTGGAACTGAGGCTGCTAATCAGCTAACATTACAATGGGGAGATTATTTGGGATTATCTGGATAGGCCCAATGGAATTACATGGGTTCCCACAGCTAAGACAGAGGCAGAAGACAGGGTCAGAGAAATGAGAAGTACAAAGGACTCAACCTGCAGTAGCTGGCTTTGAAGACGGGGAAGGAGGGCTCTGACCCCAGGAATGCTGCAGCCTCTAGAAGCTGGGAGTAGCCCCTCAGCTGATGGCCAGCAACACAGACCTTGGTCTTTGCAAGTGCAAGGAAATGAATTCTGTCAACAACCTAAATGAGCAGGGTTCTCCCCTGGAGCCTCTAGAAAGGACTGCGGTCCAGCTGACACCTTGATTTAGCACCAGACTCCTGACCTACAGAGTCTAAGATAAATCTGCGTTACTTTCAGCCAATAAATTTGTGGTCATTTATTATGGCAGTAATAAAAAACTAAAACACTGATAGGGAGGAGTTGACTAACGGGGATAAGCCCTATGGCTCCCTTTTCCATTGGATGTTATCTCCTTGGTCGGAAGCGAAAGTGTGCAGTGTCACATGACATCTACCATGACTAGTGTGCTGGCGTCTGTCTGCTTTATGTGTTTCTCACACAGGTAAACTCACTTAGTCCTCAAAACAGCCCCCATGAGCTACTACACCCATTTCTCAGGGCTCTGGAGCAATTCCCAAAAGGTTTCCAGTCTTGTAAGAGGTGGGCTGGGGATGGAGCCTCACGCGCCCACTGTGAAGTCCACCTTCTCGGCCTCCAGGCCCTGCTGCATCCTGCCAGGCCCACCTTTTCTGCTATCAAAAAGTGTATGTCTTTTCAAAAAATATATTTTCCTTCAAGATTTGTAACTTTTTATTTTTCTAAGTAATAACATAAAAAAAAATTCATTGTCTAGTACCGGCTTTTCCTAGAATTTTAAACAGCAAAAGCTAGAGGGGGCACAAATGCAAAACAAATGTAGCTTTATACAAAACTCACCACATTGTCCTTATTTTTATTTTTATTTTATTGTGGGGAGAACACTTAACATGAGCTCTACCCTCCTGACAAACTTTTAAGTGGACAATACAGTATTGCTAACTACAGACACAATGTTGTACAGCAGATCTCTAGAATGGATTTATCTTGCATAACGGATA